TTTTGGTAAACTGGATGCAGGATCTACATAGGGGTTTTATTTAGGTGAATGCAATTTGTTTTTTGTGGGTTGTTGTTTGTTTGTTTGTTTTCCCTCCTCTTCTATAATTTTCCACCTGGAAGCTCCAAATGAAGTTTTGGTTCATTAATGCCACCGTCAACATTCATGGCTGGCTGAATTCAGACCCTTTTAAGAACTGGATAGACTCACACTTGGCTCTTTTGATGCATCTTTAGTTTTTCTCTTCACCCTCTTCAGGAGCTGATAATTGAATTACCCAAACAGTGATAAGATAATTACATTCCTGTAATGCAAACAAACTACAGTTTTATATCCTGTAATTACACAGGTGGAAAGAGACCTTCAGAGGCCTTCTGGGGCAATCTCCTGATGGGAACAGGTCCAGGTAGAGGACCTTGCTTGGGGCCTTGTGCAGTTGAGTCTGAGAATCTCCAGTGATATTTCAGTCTTTCTGAAATGGGTTTTGTGGATTCTCTTAAAAGCCTCAGTTCATGTCATCCTCTGACTGAAGAAAGCTTTGTTACATAAGCAATGAAATTGGTTTCTTCACGCTGAGTGCCATTTCTGTGCTTAGTAATAGGAGACAGATCTCTTCCTGCCTTTCTTAGTTTCTCAACAAACTGGAGAAGGAGCCTCAAGCATTAAAAGAGTTTGAAAAGGACAGTTTTCTTAAATGTTTTTTTTTTTTTTTTATTTGTACTTGTATAGTATTTCCATGAATTTTTTGAAGAGTAAAAGAAGATAGAAAAGAATATTAGTGATGGCACTGAAGACTAATTCTTAGACAATGCAGATATTCTCTGCTGAAATACCTCATCAGAAACTGGAGTTAACCCGTGCAGGTGTTTCTGTACTGTCTCTGGCTGAGACTAGTTTGTTCTTGTCCAGAATCATCATCCATCTGACAGGCTAATAAGTTCTATCCATGTTCTCGTACTGATCTCAGATTTATGTTTAGATTGGCTGAAAGTTTATCTTTGGGATGAAGTCTGAATATTTGTTTTTATGCGTCTGTTGACTTCTGTAGGACTAATTATGTAGTTACAGTTGTGCTTAGATGTTTTTGGCTTATGCTAAAGCATTTCTAGAAAAGCTGGCTAGGAAAATGTGAATGTGTGACAAGTTAGGAGAGCAGCTCTGGATTTTGCAGGGTGGGAGATTTTTTTTTTTTCATCTGGTTTTTAAATAACATTTTGAAGCACTTAGAGCAAACAAAGCCTAACACCAATGTCCTGGATCAGCAGCATATTTTTATGAAAAATGTTACAATATCAAGAGGAGATTTAAGTGTAAATTTCCCAGCTAAGCCCTGTATTTCAAATTCAATATGCAGTGCATGTAAAGTGTGAATATAAAACGACAGTACTGGCTTAAATAAAAGGCCAGTCTGTTCTATCAGCATGCTTCTGATGGTAAGCAGTACTGCATGCTTAGGGAAAAGTGCAAAACCAAGGCAAATGTGATGTTAATACTAACTACCTTGCTGCTCACTGCTGTAACCTGACAGCTTGAGCTTTTTGTTTTTTCTTTTGATCATGGCTTAAATTTATACAAGATAACTTCTTATTTCTAATAGCTTCCCTTCCAGACTGACTGATTTCCTAAAATTCTTTCCTTTTGATCTTTCAGTATATTTTCTCTTAGTCATTGTCTTACAGTCAGTAAAGACATTACCTTTTTTTGTCAAAAAAAAACCAGCTGCAGCCAACTTCTTCATATTCTTCTAGTTCTTTTTTTAAATTTACCCCCAGTAATGGGGTACTTCTCACCTTCATTGTCCCTGCAGAGGTCGTGCACTGAAATCCCAGTGATCCAGTGCAGGCATGGGTAGTGTCTTCTGTTTAGTTGTCACATAACACTCCCACTGAGAGTTTTCCAGTCTAAACTGGTTAAGCAAAGGATTCCTATAATCTCACTTCTAGAGGAGTTGTCATCTTAAATCATCTGTGGTTCTGCATTTAGCAGCTTGCCTTGCTCCTCCAGTCTGTTAACCCTTACAAACCCGTTCTCAAGTACCAGCAGTGTGCTTTCATTTCAGTTCAGATGATTTCTCATTTCACTGAGATGTTCCAGAAGTTTCTTACCATATTTTCTTGGCCATCCATTCTGGTTTTAGTCTTCAAAAAATACCCAAATTGCATAAGCTTCACATCCACACTTTATTTAGCATAATAGGCAATACAATCTTAAGCTTTTTTGCTTCTTGTGAAAATATTTTTGGAGTAGAAACAATTTTTTAGTTTGGATAGATAGCATTGCTTGTTTTTTAAAAATGTAAGTACATTCAATATGAGAACGTTGTGGAAAGCCATAGACACTCGAATCTTTCTCCTTAGAAAAATCCGAATCCCTGTGGCTATTCTAATACTGCTTTGGAATGAAAAATTGCTTGGCAGAGAAGTCAGGCAATCTCCCACCTCTTTATTTATCTTTTTATTTTATTCTTGACAGATAGTGGGTGTCTTTTCCTAATTTAACAGGACCTTCTGGGTTTCATAATAGAAAAGTGTAATCCCTGCCCTGCAGCGGGACAACAAAAGGCATTGTTTTCGGCAAAGTGGTTTCTGCAGTAATGCACAAATATTGTCAACTTGGTGTGCCTTTGCTTCTGATGGGAAGTTGGGTGGGGTTTGTAGGAGGGCACTCTGAGGGGCTGCAAGCAGACTGTGCTAATGGGAATTTTGTCAGGCTGAGCTGGAAAGCACAGCTGGTTTGATGTTGCCTGCTGAGTACTGCACCCCTGGGCCACCCACTGCCCAGAGCATCCTACAACATCCTACAGTTGTTGTCTGTCCTGCCTCTGGGTTTTATTTCTGCAGAAGGAACAGCAAAGCTGGTTTTTAACTTGTGTCTCTCCCAGATGTGTGGCTGAGATGTGGTTGGATGCAAAAACAGCAACATTTTCATGGTGCCTGGGAGTCTTCCAGTTCAAATGTAACTACAGTGCTGCTCTTGGTGTCGGTGGGATTCTGTCATCTGTGTTTTGTGGACCAGGTCTCTGCGCTAGACTTCAGTTCCCTTTCCAGCTGCTGCCAAAACCAAATCAGGAAGAGGCTTAGAGCTGTTTTTTTTTTCAGAATGGGGTTGTGTCAAAGGCTGTTCATCCTGTGGTGGAGGTTGTAGAACCCTGCCAGCAATAAAACTTTATTTTCATACAGTTCATTAAGAATGTCACTCCTGCAGTCTTGCTCTGTCTCTTTGTGCCTTTTGCCGGTAGAGTTTGCAGAGTTCAGCATCAGCAGAGCATACCCTGGTCTATAGGAAGACTTGGTGATACTTCAGCTTGAGATTTTTTCTCAGAAGTGGTGGAGTGGCAGCCAGTTAGCTCACAACATGTCACATATTATAGACTTCGAGAAGTAAATTTGAGGCTACTGCCCCTGGAAGGTGATCCTAGAATTAACTGGGTTGGAAAAGACCCCCGAGATTGTCAAGTCCAGCCCTTGCTCCAACCCCACCGTGGTTCCCAGCCCATGGCACTGACGCCATATCCAGTCTGTCCTTAAACACCTCCAGGGACAGGGAATCCACCCCCTCCCTGGGCAGCCCATTCCAATGGCTGATCCCTCTCTGTAAAAAATTTCTTCCTGTTATCCAACCTAACCCTCCCCTGGCACAGCTTAAAACCATGTCCTCTTGTCCTGCTGCTGGTGACCCGAGAGAACAGAGCGAGGCCCACCTGGCTCCAACCTCCTGCCAGATACTTCTAGAGAAGTGATGCTGCTCATGGCTGGTTTGCCAGGCTCTGGAACTCTGTTTGAGCCTGACGTTGTCTTTGAGCCACTTTTCCAGCTGCTTTCTAGTTTTTTTGCAGAACTCTGTGTTTGTTCAGATGATGATGTGATGGGAGCTGAGCAGACACACAGTTGTTCCATGTGAGTGTTAAAAACTGAGAAGTAAAGCCTGAAATAGCAAAGGGTCTGTATTGCTTCTCTGTTAGAAGAGTTTGTTCAGCATTTCTGAGAAACCACATCCTTTTGAAATATCTTGGATTGGGAACCAGAGTTACTTTCAAAAGAGTAGGCAGATATTCTTCAGTAAATATCTCCAGTAAATGTTTTCCAAGGTAGACTGGTGGACTCTTGATGATACAGGTTTTGGTAGTTAACTGATAATTTCCAGGATTCTTGGGTCACATCTCATTTGTACTTTTTGGACCTTTTCAAGGACAACCAGAGGTGCTGTGTATATCGGTAATGTGTTGTTTTGTCCTAACCTCTGCGTGCAGATTTGCATAATGCAGTCATGCATTGTCAGAATAACTCTAGCTCAAATATTATGTTTCCATTGTCAAAGATACCTCTTCCTTCTGCTTTTAGGCAAGGCTCAATTGCATCCTATTTTTTATAGGTAATTGGTTTTTTCAACTTTATCCTCTTTTTAGCTAAGTCATAAATGTGTAGCTGGAGAAGGTCTCAGTTATTGTGCTCGCAATAAAGAATATTTTTTAGCTGAGAATTGTGGTTCTTAATAAAAATAAATGGTAAGAGTTTCTGGGGAACTTGGCTTTAGCATTGCAGGTATATTGTACAATGACATTGGATTCTAATGTAAGTGTGAAACAGGAAAAATAACGTGGGCTGGGTTTGTACCTTGACTTAATGTTGTGCCTGGAGTTGGAGGGGAAGAAATCCCAGAACTGCACAGAACAAAGACTTGATAGAGGAGGGACAATCATAGTTGATATTCAGTGTCATTGTAAATGTAACTGTGGAGTGGGAAATGTATTTTTGAATTCCTGTCATTCTTCTCTTTTCTGTTGTAATTGCATATTAGGCAATAATCTTTTAGTATCTTAAGCTTCTTTTGTATATTAATTATATGCAGTAGCATCTGCTAAAACTGAATTATTTTACACTTCCTGCAACACCTTAATTTTTAGGAGCATGACAAGAATATCAGTGAGTACTTTTATCTCCTCTTACTGCAGGGAAAATTTTGACTAAAAAAGGATTTTTTTCTTTTTTATTTGCTTGTAGATCTTTCAAAGAACAGATTTACTGAAATTCCTCCTGACGTCTGGCTGTTTGCACCACTGGAAACTTTAAATTTATATCACAACTGCATCAAATCCATTCCAGAATCTATTAAAAACCTGCAAATGCTCACCTACCTTAACATTAGGTGAGTAATGGTGGTTATTTTTGATCCTATTTAACTTATCTCCTTGGAGAGTTGGCCTTTTACTTCATCAGGTCATTGAGTTTGCATTGAGTTTGGTTTTGATGTTATGCACACAGACAGGGTTCAGAAACTACAGGTGTAAAACCTTGGTGCTCTCAAGAGCGTTCTCTACATCCACTGCTGTGTTGCTCTTTTTAAACTTGGAAAACATATGGTTGGATCTTCTCACAAGAACAGAAGATGGATGTGAGCTCTGGGAGGAGAGGGAATCTGAAAGAACCCACCTGACCTTGTTTTCCACAATATTCCTTGTTTCTGATGTTGGCTACATCAAGTCCAAACCAAATTTCTCAGTTAAGAGCTATTTAAATCCCTGAAACCTGCTGTGTCCCACAATGTGCAAATACCAGTCCTCATAGGGATAATTCCAGGGTAATGTGCTCTGTGGCAATTCTGAAGAGACTTAATATGATCTAAACCTGCAGTATTTTCTGAAGGAGATGTGGCCTAACTTTCTTCAGCAGCAGCACATTTCTCTTTTGGTGGTGTTTGAGGTGCTGGAATCATTTCTGTGCACACAAAAGGTGTGCAGTGTGTAGCTCTAACTGAGCTTTGCACGTTCTTTCAGGAATCGACTCTCCTGACCATCCTTTTCCCAGCTGTGCTTTGTCTGTCTGTGCTCGTGTCCAGGGACTGTTTCCCCAGTGCAGGGACACGTGGCCTGTGGGATTGGAGGACAGGCTAAAATCCTGGTTCAGATGCTTTGTTACAGAAGCAAACCACATGACCCTAAATTCTAATTTTGGATGCAGATGGTGGAGGAAATGTATTGTGCAATTCACAGTAAAAGCAAGCAGCTCCTAAAAAACCCCGAAACCTAAAAAAAAGAGAGAAAATCCTTTTAAATGGCACAGGGAACGACTTTCATTGCCACGTTTTTATAATCCATTCAAAAAAATTCACTTGCGCATTATATTTTTGATTCTTCTGCTCTCCAACTGAAAAAGCCTGGCATATCTGCCTGAAATACAGGCCTGTATCTGGTGAGGAATTCTTGATGGAGGCTGTAGTTGAAATGCAGATAAAATTATAATAGGTGGAGAATGCCCTCTGTGATAGGAGAAGAGTTGTACAACGTGCATCTCAGAATCTCTTTAAGGCTTAAAAATCAGATTATAATCCAACCTTGCTTGTCCATTTTTCTTTCTCTCAAGTCGAAATCTTTTGTCGACGTTGCCAAAATACCTGTTTGATCTTCCACTGAAAGTTCTGGTTGTCAGCAATAACAAGCTGGTCTCCATTCCAGAGGAAATTGGGAAGTTGAGAGATCTGATGGAGTTGGTGAGTACAATTGTGAATCTTTATACTTAAAGTATACTTATAGGCAGTGTATTTTCAGTATAATTAAAGGAGGGGCTCATAAATAAAATTGCTTTTGAGGTGATTTCATTTGAGTCCCTCGCTTGTATGTTGTTAAAAATGGTGAATTTTTGTTTACCTTCTTTACAGTAATCATAATTTATTTATTTGCTTTTTATGTTATCAGGAGTACTGTTTCCAGCTGAAGAGTTCACCTCTCTTTACTCTGTACTCTGATACAAGTTCTGTCCTTCAGTCATTGTTATCTTGTTCTGTGGATTGGGTTTTTCCCCCCCCTCACATTTTTACTATTTCTTTACTTTATTTGAGGTGAATGGAATTATAAGGAATATTCACAGTCTGTGCAACATGATTTTATTCCATGGCATACTAAGATTTTGTGCTTTGTCATCTGTTACTGTTTTAATATTCTGGGCTTTTCTTATCATATTATTGTTAAGCTCCTGTGTTTTGGAGAACTGAGCAGAGTCATTCACTGGCCTGGCACTTGCACTGGGTCTGATTTTTTTTTTTTTATAATTTATTTATTTTTAATTTTTTTTTATATGTATTTTTGTGATAATTGCAAGGAATCTTTGTCCTTATCCAGTTTCCTCAATAGCTGTGCATTCCCTGGAGAGTCTTGTAATATGATCTAATTTCTAAGCTATAAATCAACATTCTTTTTTAACTTACAAGTACTCTGAGACACTCAGAATATTTGTGAGGCTTTTCTCGTGTCCTTTACTCTTTGGTGAGACATTCCCTGTGTGCCCCCTTCAATGTCAAAACATTTCAAGGTGCGATCACTGCTTTTGTTTACAGGAGGTGAATGTTTTTCATGGTTGAAGTTGGGGTATTCTGGGCTTATTTTTCAAAGTTGTCAAGCCCAGAATGCATCCTTGATGGTGCAGAGTAGGGACATACTAGAGAGAGTTTCATTCCAGTAACTGTGATAAACCTGCCTAGAACATAAAAATGTATTTTATATATTTAAAAAAAAAAGCTTGTAACTAAACCTTGTGCTCGAAAGGTGCTTTTCTGAAGGGAATCCCATCTCAACACCGGTGACGTGGACAGGGAGGAACTTGCAGTGAATCCATGATGGTGCATCCCAATCAGCCCGTCCTTCCTGAGGCTCCAGCTGTGTGCACACACCGTGCTTGCCAAAAACAATGGGCAGCCCCTAAGCTGCAGCTCTGGCACTGTGTAATGAAGGGGGCTGGATTCATCTCTTAGGGCCTGGCTTAGTTACTGACTCAGCTGGCCTTTAAAATTGGCTTCCCAGTTCTCATCAGACAGATACATCTCTTTGTTATCTTGTCTAGGAAAACCAGAACTCTCAGAATTCCCTTTTATTGATTTAGAATTAAAAAAGGTTAGAAAGATTCCTTAGCAATGTGATTGTTTAATCCCTCTGGTCTACGTAAATTACTGTTAAATTACTGTCAGAAATGGCTGTAGTCTGTGTGCGCTTGATGCAACTTTGTCACCCTCTAGTGCTGTTACCCAAAGAGTTGGTGAGCCTGCTGGTGCTCTGTGTAAATCTTTAGTTGTCTGGGTTGGTTGAAGGTTTCCTAAGGAAGAGGAGCTGTTAGAACAGGAGCAGAATGACTGTCCCTTGCCAGCAGTAGCACAAGGAGTTTGTAGCTGATACGGGAACTACACCAGGAACTCATGATTCTTACTCTTAAATCCAGTGTTTCATCATTCATTGATTTGACTTGAATTGAATTCCTGAAACATGAATCACTAAACAGTGAAGAAACAGTAAGATCTGTTACGGTACCTCTTCTCTGTGGAAAAACCAGGGGAGTTGGGATTTTTCTTTTAACAGCATGCCTTTACAATAGCTTTGATAGCAGTGTTCCTGTGTGTAATTTCATTTAAGATGTTCACTTGATGTATTAATTATGTCTTTCTTAGGATATTAGCTGTAATGAACTTCAGGTCCTTCCCCAGCAAATAGGAAAATTGCAGTCACTTAGAGAATTGAACATAAGAAGAAACAATCTCCATATGCTGCCAGATGGTAAGCTACTCATCTTCTTTCCATTGATGTAGGTAAATTAGGTGAAGTGTTAAGAAGATAACTGATTCCTTTTTTTGTTTGTTTGTTTGTTTGTTTTCCTGAGTGCAGAACTAGGGGACCTTCCCTTGGTAAAGCTGGATTTTTCGTGTAATAAAATTACAGAAATTCCCATTTGTTACAGAAAGTTACGTCACTTACAAGTTATACTTTTGGATAACAATCCAATGCAGATACCACCAGCACAGGTTAGTATTGAAGTATTCTAGTACAGAAATTTGCTTTATCATCTTAGGGGAAGCACACCAATGAAGTTTTCATGTTTTTCAGCTCCTAGTGGGAAACTGGGGGCAAAAAATGCAACGTAGAAAGTGTCTCTTGGGGTGTGTTTTCCGGAGACATGCAGTGTAATGAAGATTTTTGTTTGTTCACTTGTTTCCCAACAGATATGTTTAAAGGGTAAAGTACATATATTTAAATTCCTCAGCATCCAGGCGTGCCTCAGAATAGACAAAAAACCGGATTCTTTGGATCTTCCATCCTTAGGTAAACGAGTCCCCTCCCAACCACTCACAGACAGGTGAGTACTGGGGGGTTTGTTTTATTTTACTTTGGCATTTGTTATTAAACGATCTGTTTATTACAGATAATACCTATTATTTCAGTACTTTAATTGTTCTTTATTGAGGTGTCATAGTATTTATTTTCTGTTACTGGAAAATTAATCGACTTATTTGAATTACTGTGAAGAGTTTTCATTTGTACTCCCTAGAGATGTAGAAATCAGAACAAAGATGTTTAGTAGACCAAAGTTTAAATTTATTTATTGGAAATCTCATCTATTTTATTCAGAAAAGGAGAACTGCCCATAAATGTCCTCAGTATAATTAGTCTGTTGGATGGAAAGTCTGCCTCCCATATATATATAGATATTAAGGGAATTTCACAGTATTTCACAAATATTTTTTATTAAATTTAATTGAGGTCAGAAAGTGAGGGGTGTTTTGTTGGATTTTTATACTGACTGCCCCTTGTGCAAAAATTCTGTATCAGCAACTGTAGGTGAGTATAGAGAGCATATTTTGAAAAGGATGTTTGTTTTCTTTTAGGGAAGGGACACTACTGTTTCTTTGATTCTTATGTGGGGGTTTTGTGTGTTGTTTTTTTTTTTTTTATTGTAGCATGGAGGACTTTTATCCCAATAAAAATCACGGACCAGACTCTGGCATTGGAAGTGATAATGGGGATAAAAGGTTGTCCACCACAGAAGTGAGTATTGTTGGATTTATAATTTCTGGGGTTTTAGACCTTTCCTTTGTATTTTGTATCAGCTGAGAAATTGATAAGTTGCATTTAACATTCTTTGAGTTCCTGTACAGTTGAGTTTAAACCACTGGACTGCCAAGTGTAACGAGGACCAAAGTAGTTGGAAGCTTTAAATAAGAAAGTACCTAAGTATGGTTTTCATAGTCCACTGACTGGGGCTGGACTGGACCTCTTTGAACAAAATGCTGTCTTTCAGTATTACATAATGAACTGCCTCCCTAAACTATGACTCTCTTAAACCCCCTTCCACCCCCAAAAAACCTCTTCCTGACTTGATATTGTTTTCTCTGTCCGGGGAGCCATCCCTTGTGAGAGGTACAGTTGCACTGTAATTTGTGAGTTTTTAGTAAATCATATAATAATACAAGTTCCATGTCAGTTCTGTACTGAATATGAGTGTCTTTGCAGCCATCTGATGATGATACAATCAGCCTTCACTCCCAGGTATCAGAATCAACAAGGGAACAGACATTAAGGAATGACAATCACGTAATGGGGAGTAAACTCGATCCACAGAAAGGTAATGCCTGTTGTGCCTCTGTCATTCTAGGTAACAGAGATACTTTGCTTAGGTGATCTAAGGTAGCAAAATGGCACAAAATTGGATGATCAGGTGTTGGCATTGTATTTTCATCATTGAACAATGTGATAATCACAAATAGACAGAGAGAAAGAAAAAATTATTTCCAGCTTAAGGAGACACAATGTCTGTTTATCTGTATCTGACATTTTTTTTAAGCACTTATCTCTCTTAGGAGTAACATTTGGTCAAGAGAACTGTTTAATATCTTTTTTATTCTTCACAAATCCTCACTAGACCAGGAGGCCTATGACTACATTGATCCAAATGCAGAAGAGGGAGCTCTTCCTGAGCAGGGAGATGCACAGATTGGCACATTGCTCTCCTATGTCAAGGTACCATAGACTGACAAAAGAAAAACTGTTCAGCAGACTTGCTTTTATTTTTTCTTAATTCAGTTCTAAGGATTTTTTTTTTTCATTCTCCGTAAGGAACGGGGAAAACATCCTGAGAAATCCCAGAAAACAGAACAGAATGAGGACTGGGGAGATGAAAAAAGGTAAATCTTGATCTTTTTGGGTAGGTTTTGCTGGTGGGGATGGGGGTGAGAGTGGTATTTTTAAGTTCCTTCCCACGGAAGAAAGAAATCTCATATTGAACACCAACTACTTGGGCAGAAAATAAGCTTAAAGGAAGTGCTGCTTACTTATTGTCCAACAATGAGCCATTTCTGTGTCTTGATTCACTGAAGTCAGGTCACTGATGTTTCATTTTTCAGACTTCAGAAAGAACAGCTACTGGCTGAAGATGATGATGAACTCAAAGAAGTGACTGACTTGAGAAAAATAGCAGCTCAGTTACTGCAGCAAGAACAAAAACACAGGTATTGCAAGATTAGTTAAAATAACTTGTGTAATTTATTCTGTAACCTCTCTTAACCCACTACCTCTTGACACCTTATCTCGAGAACAGTTTTGTCCAGCTGTTAAACAGTTAATCTTGACTCTGTCAGATAGCCATCCTGTGTTCCTTTTCATAAAATCACTGTCTAAACAAGCAATGATAAACCTCCTAGGGGGAGGAAAAGATGAATATGGAAGTCTCTTGGTTTCCTGATTTGATATACGTTACCTTTTTTTATACTTGTTTTCTTCAAAGCAGTAGATTTCAGTAGGCTGGTTAATGCTCATGTAAAGAGATCATTGGTAACACGTTAAAATGACTTTCTTAGTTTGTATGAATTACAGAACTTGCAAACAGTTTGCTTGTGACTGGTTATTTTTATTCAAATACAAGCTAATTTAGGTGGTACTTCCTTCATTAGTTCGGATGTGGGTTATAAATATCCTATGAACTGAAGGGGAAATTTGTTTGAACATCATTCTGTCAAATGACAGTATGTATGTGTTATAAATACATATAAAAATAAATCATTTCAACTGCCTGCCTTTCTCTGCTTCATCTTGGGCATCTCAACAGAATGATTCTTGAAAAAGAGCTGTAGAACAAGCAGCAGATTAAGAACTCCATACCCTGTGTTCAGGATTTGGTTGTTCACATAAGGAAGGGTAAAACAAGAACGAAATCTTAAAGCTAATATATTCATCTTACCAAAAGTATCGAAAGTAAGACCAAGAATGCTGAATTTTCTCATATTAATTTATTACTGAAGAGAGAAGGAACGTTTTTTTCTTATCTTGGGGTTTTTATGTGAGAGTTATTTATGTTTGATTAAATATTTCCTCATTAACTAATCATTTGAAATACCAAGCCACTCCTCTTCTGAAGTACTACAGCTTAAATTTTACTTGTCATGTGTTGTCATGTCTTAATGCAGTGATGTTGCTAATGGTTTTTCGTCTTGAATCATGCAAATGTATGCAATCTTATTTGTTCTTGGTCAACTTCTTAATTTAGCATTTATATTTTAAAATTTTCTTAAGTGTCTTCAAGGTTATGGGGACAAAATCACCCCAGTGTTTTAGCTAGTATTTAGTGAAGATTTTTCTGTGTTTATTTGTGGAAAATGTATTCAATCAGTAAACAGAATCCTCAGAAAAGTTAAGCATCACAAAATAACCCCTTACTAATCCCGTTCCTGTTCGTTCAGTGTGTGCTTTTGTGATATTATGCGGTCTCCTTTCTTTTTGCTTGCTGTGCTAACGACTTCCCTGTCCTCTCCCATCAACCTGTCCTGCTTCCTCCTTGCATCTGTGGCTTTGGGGTGCGTGAAATGGGAGTGCAGACGGAGGCCTTTAAGCTATAGGACCTCATTCAGTGAGAAACTCTTCCAGAGGACGAGGGCGGCAGGACGTGCATCCAGGTATAAAGTGTTTGTAGAGCCTCAGATTGTGGCTCAAAAAGGCCACAAAAAGGGCCAGTCTCGGCCATTTCTGAAAGAAAAACAGAGTGAAGGGATTGGTTGAGTTAGCCTGAGGGTTTGTTATCAAAAGTAGCTTGCAATAAGTTTTTTGTTCTTTAGGATGGAATACTGTAGGAGTTTCCTTGCCCTCACCAGGAATGTCAGGGGTGAGAGATCAAGCGCTCTGATGCTTTATACAGACAGCAAGTTTTCCAAGTCAGCTTTTGCTAAGATTGCAAAACAGTTCTCCCATTACTAAGGCCGTGTCTTAAAAATGGTAATCACCACCTGGCATGCTCCATCAGCATGTTCATAATAAGCTCAGTTCATAATAAACTCAGTCATTAATTATATAAATGCTGCATAGAAACAGTGTAGCTGAAAGGTGTGTGTATATATATAAATGTTTGATAGAATAGTTTTTCCTTACATTTCATATAATGAGTTTAAAAGAGGACTGGCCTGTGTTACATACAATCATTGCATTCACACTATAGTGTCAGTTTTGGTGCAAGTTTTGCATCAAACTGAGTAATTTATTTTTTTTAATTGTAATGGTCTCTTGCTGCAGCATCTCTGACAACATAAAGCTAGTTTAAATAGGGATTCTCTCTAAAAAATAATGACTTTAAAATAGCATGTTTATATGCTGGTTTGACCAATACTCTTAATATTATTTTTTGTAACAGTTTTCTCAGGCTATAGTATAATTTAATTCTGGAATGCACCCTCAAAATTATGTTTCTGAAGGCCAAGTATAAGGAGCAGATGCTGCAGACCGAATACAGCAGACTTGATTTACAGGCTTAACTTCTCATAATCCCATTAAATTGAGGGTGACACAGTGAGAGGTTTAAACTGCAAATGAGATTACTGAGCTCAAAGTTATCAAGTAATCAGAGAAGTTTGATTGAAAAATCATCAATCACAGTTAATGACTGTACTGCCCTGTGTAATGGTAATGAAATATAAAAAGGTGCTTACTGTTTTAGTTTCTTCTGCTGTATAATTGGTTGTGTTCTGATTCTTTCTGATTCTTATTACATTCTAGTTCTCTATATAATTTGACTAAAATGTACTTTGATCACAGTTCTGCACATGAAGTCAGTGTTGAAGTGTCCTATCACTACCTTCAAGAGCTCAGAAGTTTTCATTCAAGTTACTTTTCAACGTTTAGTTTTAAGTGTTACTTGATGGTCTTGTTATTTTTAACACTTAAAACATCCATAATAACTCATATCACCTTCCTGTGCACACAGACCTGTGGTATGTATTTGTTTCAGATGAAAAAACATTTCTGAATCTAAACTTAGGCTTTTTTCACTCTTTACCACTTAGAAAAATGCAATTTCTGTTGGTTCACTTCTGTGTTAAGACTTTTCTTTTGTTCTTAGCCTGTGTTTCTGCATTTTCCACCTCTCCTCTTTCCCTGCATTTCCTTTGCATTCACAGTGTTTCTCACTAAGACACCTCTGACTTGCTCCTACTGACTGACTTTGCTGTGCTCAATCTGTGTATCCTTTCTGGTCTGCTTTAGGTTGATTATCTTTTGTCTTCTAATTTAGTGAGCAATGGGACTTTTTGTGTTGAGGGCAGCATAACTGTACACAGGTGTGAGATCTGTTGAAATAGTCTGTATTTGTGGAAAAAAATAAGAGGAAACTTCATTTTCGTTTGAACTGCCAAGTTTTGCTTCCTTAAAATATAGAACTTGAAATAGTTCCAAGAGCTAGAAACAATATGATTAATTCAAATGGAAGCAGGAATGGGCTTGGATTTCATATGTGTATACATATTTTAGTTTTATGGAAGATAATCACTTAATGCTGAAAGCTTTTTACTTACAGGAAAAGTTTTTACTTACAGTGAAAGTAACATATTCAAAGAAAAAGGTTTTAAATACGTATTTTTTTTTCTTTCTAGGCTTCTTAATCATTCAGTTTCAGTAAACACAAGGAACAGGCCAAAGCAGCCAATGGAATCTGAAAAATGGTATTGATATTCTTAAGTGTATCCTATCTTTCAATATTTTATTTATTTCATTCTTGTTTATTGTGTCGCTGCTGCCATCTTCTGTCATTATGTTTTTAGCTCGCAATGAAATTGAAGCTACAAGAATATTTGGAGGGTGTGTTATAATTACTGCTGGTGTTATGCCCTCCTTGCATTCAGGATTCAATCCCCAGCCGTTTGCCTTTCCATCCACTGCCTGGCTTCGAAGCCAGCAGTTGGAGAGGGAATCAAATGGTTGCTTGATAAAATGGTAGAAGTGAATTTCACAGAAAGATGTAGAAGAAAAATTTCAAACGGCTTTAAATGTAAGCATTTTTGTTTTCCTGAGAACAAGGAAGTGTGTGTTTCGGACTGTATTTTTTTGACATTTTGCAGTTTCACTGTCCCGTTTCGAAATGCTTTTCCCTGCTTCGTTATTATTTTGTAGAGCTAACACTGAAATCAAACATGTGAGTCTTCCACACATTTAAGAGTAGATCTTTTGTCAGCTTTGAAGGAAGTTTGTCACTGCTTGCTTTAAGGAACAAAACAATGAAGGTGCATTAGTAAATCTCTAAAAGATCAACATCCTTAAGAAGCAGCTTAATGGGAATTAAAGTGCTGTACTGTTCAAGGCCTATTGTCAACTCATGGTAAAGGAGAGTGAGATTCTAGGCAAGTGGTCCTGCTTTTAAGCCACATTTTGTAGCTACTTTTTAAGCATTCACTTCTTCTTTTATAATTTAAAGTAATGTGGTTTTAAAAAATAGTACATTTCATAATGCCTCCCATCTTACTTTTTAGTGTCTCCACAAATGAAGTGAATTCCCCAGTGTCCCCATACAACTGGCAGGTAAGCACTCCAATGGAAATGTGGTGGCTTTATATTTGAGTGCTTTTTTGTTGTTGCTGTTATTTGCTTGGTTTGGTCTTTATGACAGTAAACTTGCATACATTCGTGTGGTTGCTTATACACAGAGTTATTTAAGTGTCTAATTATGGTGGAAAATATAAAACCTTTGACTTTTATGCAATGGAGGCCTTTTGTTTTAATAGCTTGTGGTACCAGCTTTAAGACCTTGAAACTAATGAGACTTAAGTTCTGCTTGGTTTTAGGATTTCTTTCCATATACATGTACTGCCTCACCATAATGGTCAGTTTGGTTTTTAATGTAAATTCTAAATGGATTGAATTATGTAGGCCTTTTATTTTCCATACCTCAGTGAGAAGCTTACATGATACAAGAAAATTCCAGTTAAACTGGAGAGAGTACTTTTTTTGTTATTTTAGGTTTTCATCTATCAGTTATTTACAATGGCTTTAAACTCCTTCATATTCCAGTAAGAAACAGTTGGAGATGTTGTTTTAACCTTATGAGATGGTCTGCTCAGATTGTCTTTCAGTTTTCATAGACAGTCATATATATATTCATTATTTTAATAATGCATCTACTTTAGCTGTCTTCTCGTAACACAGTACTTTGAAAGAGATTTTTTTTTCTAACAGCTTGCTGAGGTGTATAATGTTTTAGGTAGGAACAGCTGACAGATATTCCAACTATGGTGTAGCTGTCCTTTTTCTGTGCAGTGAGCATTCGTTGAGAAGTTAGGTGTGCTGGTGGCTAACCACACTTGAAACTTGTTTATTTTTGGCATCCATAAATGGCTTCCTAACCTACCTGCAAAGACGAGTCTCAGTGCAGGAAAGAGTGTTATTTTCTGAGGAATTATTTCATAAAGTTTTTTTTCTTCCATGAAGTATATTTTAAATTTGAAAGGAAATAAGTCATTTCTGCCAGAGCCACCATGAAGATTGGGCACATGTTCGGGTCATAAAGTTGGATTGAGAGAGGCAAACAATTAATAGTTGTAGTTCATAATAATTTGTGCTAATGCACGAGAGATATATTTACCTTTCACATAAAAATATTTCTGACCATTATTAAAGCCACTGGAAAACCAGAAAGATTCAGTGGATGAGCAGCATTGGCCAGAAACACAGCCAGTGATCTGGCAGAATGAAGAAAGAAGGAGGAGTAAACAAATTAGAAAAGAATATTTCAAGGTAAGGGGGGGAGTGAGGGTGGGTGACATGTTTTTCTAAGAGTAGGAGAAACTGGTAAAGATATCTAAGTAAAGATAAATCCTCCAAGGTTATGATGCTTTTAAATTTGCATGTCACATGTAAATATTTATTTGACTCTTTTGATTTAATATGTATTGAGAGTGCAGGAAAATCAAGAGGGACAAAAAATTAACCAAAGAACTTATCCTTTAAATAAAGGGAACTAATTCACAATTGTCTTCTGGTAAAACCAGAAACTAATCTTGTCATTCATTGGTCCTTCACCATCTGTTTGAAGGGATTTCTATTTATCTATTTATTTATCTATTTTTAGTGCAAGGAAAATACACATTAGTTTGAATTTCAGAAGGGGAATTTTCCCTGTACTCCTTTGCTGCTGTAGTTTCCCCCCTCGGTCAGCAGGTGCCAGTGTCTGCTCACTGCAGCACTGAGGGGAAGTTGTAGCAGCGTTGGGTAACATTTATTTTGGGGTAGGTAGAGAAATAGGAGAGTTCTGAGCAGTGCTAGGTTGAGTTAAAATTAAATTTGCCACTTATGAAATTAGTTTCTTGGGTCTTTGCCATCAAATATCTTTGTGAAATGCCAGGGAACTTCAAAGAAATTAAATTCTTGGGAGAACAGAGCGTGCCATACAGCTCAGATACATTGTTGTGATTACAGAAGCTTTTCTTTTTTTTTTTTTTTTTTTTCTAAAGAGCTTGTGAAGCTGTATCCTCTTTCCAGGGTTTTCATCCTGAAATTAATTTTGCACTAGAGCCATTAAGGAGAGGGAGATAAATTTCTAAGTAAACCAGAATTCAGTTATTTGAGTTGTTCAACAGCTGTGCTACCAATACAGAAGTGCTTCCTCTTAACTTACAAGGATGTCTTTAAATGCCAGTCAGTTTTGAGCTCTGTGAAGGGAGCAGATGCCTGAAATCACATTACACACATCTCTAGACATGTCTCAAAAGTGAATTAAACAGGCTGTACCAGTAACAAAATATACTGTATCACTCATAGTTTCACTTGCAAAAGCAAGGCAATGAGCAAGTGAAACAGAGTCTGGGAAAAAAATGAGTACCACTGCTGTTCTGAGGAACCAGTGACAACACAGTTCATATTGTGTCCGTGTTTTCATGGCAGTTAATCATATCTGGACTGCCAAACACTAATATCTGAAGAATACACGCCAAATTACTGCAAGGGGTGTCACCAGAGCAAGGAAAACTGAGTTGGATCAGCATCTAGATGAATTTATAGGGCATTTTATTATGCATATTATGTGTCTTTACTGTGCAGGAGGAGGGCATGAAAAATGCCCGTGAGAATCAGAAATCAGATGCAGAGTTCACATTATAAAAGTATTTACTTTTAAAATGCTCTTACCTCTTGAGCATAATGAAGATCTTATCTAGCCTAGGAACTTCATGTTCCTTTTCTGGTTGGTTTCTTTGTTGCTCCTCTAATTGTGTAACATGGATTGACTGATACCAATTTAGCTCAAATGAAAACCATACTTCCATTTTAAAGTAATAAATTGTGTGTGTTTTGCAGTATAAGTCTTCCAGAAAGAGTTCAAGTGGAAATGAAAATGATGAGGTGAGATGTAGTAATTGTGTGAAAAATTTAAGAAGAGATTTCCTCACTTGTCTTTTTTGAGCAATTTAACTTTTCATTCCAAAACCGTAGCGAAAATAAGTATTATACTCCTTTATTTTAAAAAAACCCTCAAGGTTGTCTACTGGGAAAGAGTAGGACATTTGCCTGCTTTGGTAATAGCAAAGTTACTTCACCTATCAAGCAGAGGTAATGTAAAAATATTTGATGTAAACAGTGTTTCCTTGGCTGACATGTTTTAAAATTTAGTTGCTGCCGGTTCATAGCATACTTGGCAGATGTTACATGTCTCATGTATTTCATAATCTCGTGTTTCCTGTTAAATCATCGTTTTTCATTTTTATAATTTCATCTCTTTGATTTCTTTTTAGCAAGACAGTGATAATACTAATGTGTCCCCACAGTCTCCTGTGTCGTCTGAGGTACAAGTTTGTGGTTTTGTTTTTCATTCGACAAACATTTCTTTGTGTGCATTGCTGTCACCAGGTTTTTCATGCAGATGTAAAGCTGTTCCCTTTGAAACTAGAGTTAGAAGTATTTCATCATAATAAAAATTCAAAAATAGATAAACTAGAGGCAGATATTGCAACTTGTTTTATCTTTGCAACTCTCTGATCTCTCCTAGGGCTCTTCTTTTCGGTGTGAGGAAAGGTGCTAATGAAACAAAAAACAAGTTTGCCATGTTTTTTAGGTGTTCCCTATGCACTAGTAATTGCGAGGATTTAAAATAAAACTTGTGGTTTAATTATTTATGTATCACTGGGAGCCCAAAGGCACTGACTCTTCTCGGGGAGTTGCTGTCCATGGAGTCTTCCTGGGACAGCACTGCAGTGCTGAGCTCAAAATAAAGCAAATATTGTCAACTTTTCCACCTCATGTCAATAAAGGAGCCTGAGGGAGCAGAATTAGAACATCTCCAAATAACAGGGAAATGAGTTCAAATAAGGATATCTCATGTACGTGCCAAAATGTTGAGTGGATCTCTCTCTTTAGATGGTGAAATGAGAAAAACCTGATCCTCATAGTTGGAAGTAGATATTTCTTGAGAAATGTTTTGATGCTAAGCATTGGGAGAATATTTGCATCTGCTCACAGCTGGCTTAGAACTCTGTCCCCAGAATGATTTGCAGTAATTTGAAATAATTTGCAGTCGTTTTAGGTAGTTGGTGCTGTTTTTCTTCCTCATAATGAGATTTTTATCTGCATGTAGGGTGGTTACTTTGATTCTGTTTATTTTATACTGTCCCCTCCAAAAGACTGTTTTACAGTTAAGCAGGAGGACTCTCCTTAGGAAAGAATAATTTAAACAGTATCTTCATGGGAACAAAAGTTAATTCTTTTAATGAATGGATGAAAATTGACTTTATCTCTTTTAACAGGATTATGAAAGGACAGAGAGTAACACTCATGGTCCATTTGGTCTCAAACCAAGGTCAGGTAAGCTGTCGTTCTCCAACATAGGGTGGTAGAACAGAAGTTTATTTCCCAGGCTGCAGTAGATAGTAAGGATGGCAGATGTCACAGTACAGGAAT